CACGAGGAGTACAGCTAGTTCGGATTAGGAAGCCTAATCCGAACTAGCTACTCCGTGCCGCGTGTAGGCGCGCGGCACGGGATTCGAACTAGCCGGGATTTAAAAATGGCGGCGCCCGGTTTATGCAAATGAAGCCCGGGAAATTCAAATCCCGGGCTTCATTTGCAAGTGCGGTATGCCTACATTACCCTCCTAGTTCGAACTAGGAGGGTAGTGTAGACATACCCTCAGGGATTAGAGGAAAGTTATTCTCAATGAAGAACAGGTGGCTGGTTTTAAACAAACAATGGATTGAGAGTAGAACCTTTAAAACAAACAAAAGGAAGTTTTTCTTCATGCAGCACACAGTCAACCTGTGGAACTCCTTGCCAGAGGAGGTGGTGAAGACCAGGAACTTAACAGGGCTAAAAAAAGACCTAGATAAATTCATGGAGGGTAGATGCATTCATACTTATTATCCAGGATGGGTAGGAATGGTGTCCCTCACCTCTCTTTGTCTGGACACGGATGACAGAAGAAGGATCACTTGATCCTTCCCTGTTATGTTCACTTCCTCTGGGGCACCTGGAATTGGCCACTGTCAGCAGACAGGACGCTGGGCTCGATGGATCTTTGGTCTCACCCCGTCCAACCGCTCCTATGTTCTTCTGAAAGATTTATTTGGGTACGTTTTGCCTGTTAATATTTTCTTTCTTGGTCCTAGAATGGCAGATACATTTCCCAATCTTGTTTGCTCGTCCAAATGATTCACCCTCATTTACAACAAAAGAAAAGAAAATTTTCTGCTTCTGTAAATGTCTATTTCTATGACACTGTGGGACCTCACGTCCACAGAAAACCTGTCTGATTGTTTTCAGCATATGCCCTCAATTACAACAAGCAGAATCTTCATAACCATGCTTGGCAGAATTCCTTTTTTATTTTTATAACGTCAGCAGATAACATCAGTATTAATTTGTACAGTTTGATGATCAATTTATATTCTCCCAGTTGCAAAAAAGTTATCAGTCTTAAGCATTTTTACATAAGAACATAAGAATCGTCATCCTGGATCATACTAAAGGTCCTACCAGCCCAGTGTCTTGTCTACTGACAGTGGCCAATGCCAGATACCTCAGAGGGAGGGATCACAACAGGGAATCCTCACGTAATCACTCCTTGTCACCCACCCCCAGACAAACAGAGGCTTAGGGACACCATTCCTACCCATTTGGCTAAGAGCCATTGATGGACCTAACCTCCGTGAATCTATCTAGCTCCTTTTTGAACCTTGTTAAAATCCCACTCTTCACTACATACTCTGGCAAGGAGTTCCATAGGTTAACTGTGCGCTCCGTGAAGAAAAACTTTGTTTTGTTTGTTTTAAACCTGCTGCCTTTTCATTTCATTTGGTGACCCATCATTCTTATATTATGGGAATAAGTCAATAACTTTTCCTTATTCACTTTTTCCACACTAGTCATTATTTTATAGATCTCCTTACATTTTTCCTTACATTCTTCTCTTGAAATTTTCACGGGCATGGGAAATTACTGGGGAGGGATGTCGTACAAAGTGTGGCTGACGATACTTATTTAATTACACTGAACATCAGAAAACAACATTTATAATTATTACGATACGACTTGTAAAATCACTTCAAAATATACAAAGCATATAGCCTACAATCAAAACTCCACTCATCTCTCTGGTTGTATTTTCTTACTTTGCCTCACTGTGGTTTTTCGATATTACTCATTGAAATATTTGTGTTGGTTTGGGCAGGTATGGTGAAATGAATATTTACTCACCTTTACCAAGATCTCTCTCATTCTTCCAAGCCTACTTCTAATTCAGAACGGAGGACAATGGGAAAATAATGAATAATTTTTATATATGCCACACACAAACCCTGGTTTCTGACATTTGGAAAGGAATCCCTCATTTAATTCTGCCTGTAGTGACACGCCTGAAAAAAATCTGCACGAGAAAAAAAACCACATATGTGCAATTTGTGTTATATCAGATTATCCTAATACGTTTGTGCTTTAAAAATTGCTGTAAGTGAAAACCAGAGGTGTTTTGTCCGCAGGGCAAAAATATCTTGCACCTTTCCATGCAATGAGAAGACCGATGTGATCCTTGATTGGCAACTGAACATTTTGGCTGCGGTTTTTAACACTTACCTGAAGGCAGCAAGAAACGCTAAAAGAAGAAAAACAAAAAAATCCAATAATCTTGAAGAAGTGGGATGTACCCACGAAAGCTCATGACACCATCTATATGTTTTGTTAATCTATGAAGACCATGTGTTGTTTTTACAGACTAACTTGGCTACCCCCTGAAGCTTCAAAACACAGAGTCACTTGTTCTATTCCTAGCTCAGCAATCAGATATTTAGGCTACGTTTTTGAAAGCTGTCTAAGGAACCTTAATGACCAATGGCCACTAAATTTCCAGGAGATGGATGGAAAAATCTTTTCCTAGTATTGTAGAGTATCGTTGTGGAATCTCCATCCCTGGAGAGATTTCTCAGCAGATGTCAAGGCTGTTCCCGACTCTGACGCAACAAATGCAGAAGTGGGGCCCCGCAAAAGCACCCCAAAATCACATCTCTCCAGGCTTTGGGAAAAACCCCCCCCCCCCCCCCCACACCAAAAAACCCCTTGTTGAGAGAAAAAAAAAAAGAACTGAGTGGGACAGCAATACTTGATGGGAGGGCTGGGTTGTCTCACCCCCCCCTAGAATTTCTTCATGCCCCCCAGTTTGGGAACCCATGGGTCTAGGTCATCGCTGACAGGTGTCTGTCCCCTACTTATAAATATCTCCAGAGATGGAGATTCCACAACATCCCTGGGCAATTTATTCCAGTGTTGAACCACCTGGACAGGTAGGAAGTTTTTCCTCGTGTCCAACCTCAACCTCGCTTGCTGCAGTTTAAGCCCATTGCTTTTTGTCCTATCCTCAGAGGTCAAGGAGGACAATATTTCTCCCTCTTCCTTGTAACACACTTTTATTCCAAAGAAGAACGTGCTTATTTATTACATCAGTTAAATGAAAATAACTTATCCATCCATCCGTTCCCAACCAGCAACCTCCTGTTTTGGTCGCTGTCTAAGCATCGCTTGATACCACCTCCAACCCTTTGTCCAGTTTTCCAGATCATTTTGAGTCCTGGCCCTATCCTCCAAAGCATTTGCCACCTCTCCCAGCTTGGTACCATCTGCAAACTTAATAAGCGTCCTCTCTAAGCCGATATCTAAACCATTGATGAAGACACTGAACAGAACCAGTCCCAAAAGCAGACCTGTATGGAAACATACTTGTTATGCCCTTCCTCCACCATCCTTAATCCCTTCGACTGCAGTTGTCAACATTGCCAGAGGATACCTCAACGAAGACTTGTTGACTTTCAAGGTACTCAACTAAGTATGTTCCTTTGAAAAACCCAGGTGAAATGGATTCCACGAAACATGTTGCTTTCTGTGTTGAACGCTACAATAGATACCACACCCAAACTTACTCCCTCTATGAGCCACCAGGATACGGCCCCCTCATAATAATAAAATAATAATAATAATAGAGACTGCCTATCTCCTAGAACTGGAAGGGACCTTGAAAGGTCATCGAGTCCAGTCCCCTGCCTTCTCAGCAGGACCAAGTATCATCCCTGATGAATTTTTGCCCCAAATCCCTAAGTGGCCTCCGCAAGGATTGAACTCACCACCTCTGCTAGAAAATGACATGCCCAGAGCATAAGAAACCTTCTTCTTGCTCCCCAACAAATCCATGGACATGTCAGGGGTTCACCTACCCGACAAAATAATCTCCCATGAGCATCACATCTCAGACTAAGTCAACTGGCTTGTGTTCGGGCATTCCCGGTTGGGCTGGAAGACTGGCTCTAAAATCCAGCAACTTGGACGGATTTCGGAACCCGTTTCCAGGCTGAAAGGAAGTGTCTACAGCCGGAGTTGCATGAGCCCTCGTCTGTAGATGGAGGTTCTGAAACCTGCTTGCTGAGGAATTTTCTTGTCTTTTAAAAGGATATAAACCAATTCATGGGTTGTCAGAAACTTGGTGCTGTTTTTTTGGTGGGACAAACAAAAGCAACCGGTACACATGATACGAGTCCCATCTTACCTCCTTCCATGGGGCTGCGGGAACACAAAACCCAGTAGTAGACATCAAGCAGAAAGATCATTTTAAATGAAGACAGACGTGGGAAGGGACAGGGCTTTTTATATGTTGTAAGGTATTAAGGGTGAGGAAAGTTTATCTGTCCATCTGTCTGTCCATCCGTGCATCCATCCATCCTTCCATCCCCAGACACACCCATCTATCCCTCCCTCTGTCCATCTGTTGATCCATCCATCCATCCATCCATTCCCATAAGCATCCATATTATTCTCAAATCTTCCATATCTATCTATCACTGGAGATATTTAAGACCTGTCAGAGATGATCAAGATGGTGCTTGGTCCTGCATTGAAGGCAGAGAACTGGACTTGATGCTCTCTGGAGGTCCCTTCCAGATCTATCTACCTATCTACCCTACTTCAATTTTTTCAAACGGTTGCAGCATCTACTTAAATTCAACCGCACAGAACATGAACCATGGCAAATTATCCCACTAAAAGAAAACTGATAGGAAGACAGATCTGGATATCCATGGAGAAATAATTTCATGGTTTACATTTACTAGCGCTGAAATCGGAATCCGTGGAAAGCTAGGACACTTACCCGAGAGGACTCCTGACCACAGGGGGAGGGGTTCTTCCAGACGCTATCAATCTCTAGAAAGAAAACACACGACTGGAATAGATGCGCTCCTAGATCTCCCAGTGCCCCCCATACCTCCGAGTCTGTGACCAAAGAATTATCAGGGGTTGGTAACATTTTCACCAGAAAGGGGAAACTAATTTAAGATGCC